GTGTCTTCCAAAATGGAATCTGTCTTTATTGAACAAAAGTGGGGGAGACCAGGAAAAGGAGGTGGGAGAGGGGAAGAGAGAGGGTGGGAGAGGGGAGGGCAACTACAATGATCAGGAGTTGGGAACAGGTTCCATATGAAGAGAGTCTAAAGAGACTGGGACTTTTCAGCTTAGAAAAGAGGAGATGGAGGGGGGACAGGATAGAGGTCTCTAAAAGCAGGAGTTGGGTGGAGAGGGTGCATACAGAAAAGTTCTTCATTAGTTCCCATAAAGAAGGACTAGAGGACACCAAAGGAAAGGAATGGGTAGCAGGCTTCAAACTAGTAACACAAAGTTGTTCTTCACAAAGCAGAGTCAACCTGTGGAACTCCTTGCTGCAGGAGGCTGTGAAGGCTAGAACTAGAATAGAGTTTAAAGAGAAGTGAGATAAAGTGATGGAGGTTGGGTCCATGGAGTGATATTAGCCAGGGGGTAGGAGTGGTGTCCCTGCCCCAAGTTTGTGGAAGGCTGGAGATGGATAGCAGGAGAAAAATGGCTTGGTCATTGTTTCGGTCCATCTCCTCCAGGGTCCCTAATGTTGGCCACTGTCGGCAGACAGGCTATTGGGCTAGATGGACCTTTGGTCTGACCTAGTACGGCCATTGTGGGCTCAGGGTCAGGGGTCTCATTGGACCACCTTGATTTTCATGCACACCTGCTCCTGGGTGGCCAGGCTGGCAGCTCTCGTGCCCTAGACGGCCACTGTCCTGTGCCTAGTGCGGAGATCATGGACGAGGTCCACGATGTCCGCACTAGCCCAGGCGGGTGCCCGCCTCTTGCTGTCCCGGGCAAGCTCCCGGGAGCCGCCGGCCTGGTCCCGGGAAGAGGGGGAGGACTGGGGAGCATCGGGTGGCTGGCTCGATCCGTGCCAGGTGCAGGGTCTGCTAGCTAGGTGCTGGCAGGCTTGCACCTGGCACGGGCACCGTAGCCAGCCCGTGCCCCTTTAAGCGGTCTGGGGCCTGGAGGGGGGGCAATAGAGTTTCTCTGGTGTTGGCTAGCCTCCCACTCGTTCGAATTAAGGGGCTACATACCCCTTAATTCAACTAGTAAGTTCGAACTAGGCTTAATCCTCGTAAAATGAGGTTTTCCTAGTTCGAACTAAGCGCTCCGCTAGTTCGATTTAAATTCGAACTAGCGGAGCGCTAGTGTAGCGCCTATGAATGTTAGTTCGAACTAACGTCTGTTAGTTCGAACTAACATTGTAGTGTAGACATACCCTGAGACAGTGCAGAGGAAAGCATCTGATTTATCCCCCCAAAGCCTAGGGCATTGTTGAGATAGACTGGAAAAGTATATTGGAAACAGAAATCTAGTGTGTGAAGATGATCCTGGTTGGGAAAGTAGATTAGGTCTAGGAGCTGGAGTGTAAAATGTGCTTGGGGCATTGGGAGGAAAAAGATCAAATGAAAGTTTGTTGAATAAGAGAGATTTCTGTAAAACATTCTATTTTTGACGAATCAGTATTTTCTATTGAAATTCCATTTTGTTAGAGAATTCCTGATCTACTGTATTATTATTCCTATTGGAATAATTTTTCATATAGATTTTAATTTGTGCACTTTTCAGAAACAGACATCTGCATCAAATACCAACAAATGTATTGGATCCCATCTAGAATATAAAATCAGATAATTTTGTCCCATACCAATACAGAAGCCATCACCCATCATTCCTGACCCTTGTAGCTTACTCTTGATAATTTTATGTTTTAAATGAAACCGAACAGGCTATCAGTTAAAATATTTAATTTAAACTATAAAAGTAAAACCACAATGCTAGGAAAATAAAACTTTTCAAAATAAAATTCAATACCAGTACTCTTAAGATGTAAACTGATGGAGAAAGAATTGAAGGTATCTGTCCATTTTAATCAATACAATCTTTGGAGTTTCTAGTTGTTTACCCTTTTTTCTATACTTTACAAACAAATGGGTTGAATTCTCCTAGCTATCACATCCTCTTGTGAATCTTGAAGGACTAGATATGATCGCTGGTAAATTTCCTTTGTGCTTTTATTTCCATATCTTGTTCCAGCTTCTTTCAAAATCTGCCGTACATATGAATGGAGGACAGGGACTTTAAATAAAATGTAATTAAAAGCTGTGATGCTATCATTTTAGTTCATATCTGTGATAACATTTACTCCAGTGGTTCCAGTTCTTCATTCAGTGGGACAACAAAGGACTTTACTAGCACATATGTTTGCAAGATATGGGTCTAAATATAAATACTTTTATTTATTTTACAAATTTATATTTCTATATTTGTATTTACTAGGAGCCAGGAAAAGTGATTGAAATAGAATGCTTGGAATGTGAATATGAAGTCCAAAAACTTGGCACTAAAATTGCAACCTATACTAAAGGTGTTGTTGAGGTATGCTTTTTAATTAGTACTAATTTGTATAAAAAAGATAAACATTAACTTTCTGTTAAATTTTCCCAAGTTGTACATTAGCTATGGCTCAATCTTATGCCACTTTGTAAGAAAAAACAGTTCATTTTCAATTTTCTCCATTAATGTTAATATATTATCTTTTTGTTGGGTCTGAACAAAATAAAGAGAATCCTCTGTTCTGCCATGGTATTTACAGTTTGGTAGAACAGGGTCATACCATACTGTTCCACAAGACAGAATCATATTGTTTGGCTATACCAAAAGAAGGACAGAGACGTGATAAAGTTTTAATCATGCTGCAACTCTATCAGATATCTAGAACTACATGGCATATAAAAGCGTACAGTGGAGGTTACCTCTGTTCGTTCAGTAACTTCCCAGGGGACTTCCACCAGCAATCTTCTCTTTTTCCATCTAGGTCCCCTAGCCAACCCATTGCTGGGACCTTACTATTCCCCATCCCATTAAGGAGGGGAGAGGATGATTGGGTCCCTGCTGTACCATTCATAGGAGCCCCCAATCTTCCCCATTCCATTTGCTTAACCAACACCTAATTTGCAAGTAATTTATCAAGCTGTGTATTTGGTCACTATATCTTTTCTTTGAAATACCTACATTGCTCATCTGTCCCACACTTGCATACCAAGTTGTGATATATAGCTTAACTTCCTTCATGCCACACATCAACAAAGTCCTTTCTAAAGCAACTGTGAAGAAGGCAAAAAAAACCAGCTCCACCTAGATCAATTTGATTATAAGGGAAAAAATCCTTCCTAGACCTCCTAAAAAGCTAGTGCAATGCCCCAGCAGCTCTTGACCAAACCTGTTACTTCACCATCCAGAGGGAAGGGTGGGTGCTGATTCTGCCTGCTCCATGTAAAAGGGGGATCACCATACAGGCTGCACCTGTAAGCCCTTCTGTCCATTCATTTCACAAGGGATGAGTCAATGTCACTATGCTGGCTTCTTGTCTCCTTTTGCAGTAATTTAATCTCTCCATACTGCTCCCATTATTCAGCCAACAAACCAAATTCACCCCCGTTTAAAGGTGTGTTGCAGTCAATGGCAAAAAGAGGGGACATCATGCCTATAGAAGTTATTTGCACACACATCAAGGACCAGATTTTGCAAATACTTGTATGAAGGAATAATTCTTCTGATGAGTAGTCACATTGAATACAGTGAAACTAGTAATTCGGGTAAAGTTGCTTCTGCATAAAGTGTTTGGGACCTAAAATATTAATCACTTATTTCATTTATTGATAATTAGATAAGACATATCAGTACTATTATTATTTGAATAAATATAATAGAAATTAAGTTATATTTAAGAAGTATCCATAAAAACAAAATGTAAATCACTACATTCGTTTTTAACTTTTACTGTGTTAAAACTCTACCAAAAGCTAAGAGCTTGTGAATTTTTGCTAAAGAGCCTTGTATATGTAAACTGGGATTTTCAAAGAACTCTGTGTTGGTTTCCTATTGAAATCAATGGGAGTTTTGCCATTGATTAGATTAGGAGCAGAGTTAAGCCAACATTGATTCCTTTGGAAAACTTAACTTATGTTTTTTTCTGTCTTTCTCCTACACCAGGTTAGAACCTGAGCAGCTGATAAATGTACTAAATTCTCAGAACTCAAAAATAATCTGCAGTCATGGATTTTTGTTATCATAAGGTATGCCTACTCTGCATTCCTCTTTAAGAGAGGAATGCAAATGCGGAGGAACAAAATTGCAAATGAAGCGCAGATTTGAATTTCCCGTGATTCATTTGCATAATCATGTCCAGACGCTATTTCAAAATACCCTATTTCAAAAAAAGAAACGCTGTCTAGATGTGGTTATTTCGAAAGAAAGCCCTTGTTTTGAAATTACCCTTACTCCTTATAAAATGAGGTTTAAGGGTAATTTCAAAAGAAAGGTTTTCTTTCAAAATAACCGCGTCTAGACAGCGTTTCTTTTATCGAAATAGGTTATTTCGAAATAGTGCCTGGACGAGATTATGCAAATGAAGCAAGGAAAATTCAAATCCACGCTTCATTTGCAATTTCATTCCTCTGTATTTGCATTCCTCTCTTGAAAGAGGAGTGCAGTGTAGACATACCCAAAGGCAACAGGGAGAGACAGACAGGATCATATCTGAGAGTGGCAATAGCTGTTAAATAGTAAAGTGTGTAAAATGGCATTCTTTATCAGTCAAAATGTGACTTTAAAAAAAAAGATTTAATGTACCTGCATAAAATATGGGCTACATGTGAGTTCTGTGAAAGTTTCATAAATCAAAAACTACAGAGATTGTTTTCTGTTGGAAACAACCTAAAATCACAGTTTTACAGTATTATTTAGCATTTGTTTTATTAGTATATATAATCAATGTGAAGTACATTTTTATTTACAGTCTCAGCTGAAAGTGATAAGAAGACTTGAACAAGCATTGCAACGTGCAGTTCGACTGGGAGACCCCAGTGTTATTCAGGTGGTTTGTGCTACACAGTGGAATCTTTGCCTGCCACTGTTACAACACAATTTGCATCAACATGTGCGAAAACCATTAATATCTGTTGCTGAAATCTTAGAAAAAATTGACAGGTAAATTGCTTTATTTACCTTCCCTTATGTAGATCTCAGATGCCTTGAAAACTTTACCACAGATAATAATAAACGAAACTATTTGGATAACTAAGCCCTGCAAATCTGTTAATATCCTGTTTAGGGCAAAGTCTAAACTACATCCCTCTTTCGAAAGAGGGATGTAAATTAGACATATTAGAATTGCAAATGAAGCTGGGATTTGAATTTCCCACGCTTCATTTGGTAATTTTTTTAGGACTACAGGATCTTTCGAAAAAAGCTTTTCTTTTCAAAAGAACCGCGTCTAGACTGCGGTTTCACTTTCGAAATAGAGTTTTTCGAAAAAACGTCATGATGCAATTATGCTAATGAAGCACGGGAAATTCAAATCCCGGTTTCGTTTGCAATTTCAATATGTCTAATTTACATCCCTCTTTCGAAAGAGGAATGTAGTTTAGACGTACCCTAGATCTGTGGGTATCCACATTCGCGGATATGGATTCAGATATTCGTAGCTCATTTTTGCAGCTATGGATGCGGATGCAAAAACACATTTTTTATCTAGAACACAGCATATTTGCAGATATCCATTTTATATCTGCAGATATCTGTATTTGTACATATGGATGTTATTATCTACAGCTCATGTTTGTGGATACGATTGCGCAGTGCTCTATGGATAATCTGTATCTTACCCTATCTACCTCTAAAATGCAGCATTCTCTTTCATGAATCCTCATAAATGATTAATGGCATACAGAAACACTGCAGTTTAAGACAGGATATGAGGAATAATGTATCCAATTGAAATTACATGAAGAAAGTGTATTATCATAGTGTGACTAAATATATTGGCGTATGGCCTGGATTTCTGACATGGACATCCCTGCATTTGGGAAAAATGCTGCACAGTTTACAGTAAGTCTTTGCATATGTACGTTCCATCATAGGGGTGCATGCATCCTATTCACTATTGTCTGAGTCTTTCTTTCCTCTGCAGTACCAGTTGGGGTAGAGTAAGTGAATATTGTTGCCTTGTGGCAATAAGCACAGGTAGAACAGGAAGTGTGTCCCTGACCTTAGCCACCAGTTCTTTCTTACTTCTCATATCAGTTGTTAGAATTGGTGTTTCTTGCCTTTGCAAGTCTTTCCCTCCTTCTTGAACATAGTATGTGTTTATTATAATTCTAGAGTAGTCTGAAGATTTTTCACAATTTTCAAGTTAGATTTAGAATTAAGTTTTAGTTTTGATCGTTTGCCTTAGTCTCCAGACAGCAAGTCTTGTCACCCTTGCAGCAAATCAGTGCCTGTGAGTGACCACATGTCAACTGTCTTAAATGTCTAGGGGTTATTTGTTAAGAGTTCCAAGAAAGGGCTGCAAGATTCAAGTTTCACTTAACAGAGTTAGTGTGCTGATCACCATTTGAAGCCTTCTTGCTCAGAGACAGACAGATCTGCATCTGTGAGGAGTGCTCACCTGATTTGAATGAGTCAAAAGATAAGTTCTCCATAACCAGTACCAAAGAAGACAGGCTTTAGCAAACTCAGGGGGTTGGTAAGTAAGATCCCATAGGGAAAGTTGAAGAGTAGGTTTTCACTTGCCACGCCGGAGATTGATGTTCTTGCATTTGATTTAGTGGGTTTAGTATAGACCCGTAAAAAAACCACTGAGGGCAGCTCCAGCCAGCATCTGTACTCCTTGCAGTTGTGAGGTGTAAGGGAAGCCAACAAGCGCATTTGCTCCCTTTGGCCTCCTGCAGTGGGGACGGTGCCAAGCTATGTAGCTGGAGTTGTGTACCTTAAGCTGACCTTCCAAGTCTAGTGTAGACTAGGCCTACGAGGAAAAACTGTTGGACAGTTGGCAGGGTTTTTTTCAGAAAGACATTTTTAAGGGCAAAAGAGAAAACTATTCCACTGTATAAGAAAGATAGGAAGGATGGCAAGAGAGGACCCTGACATAACTAGGAGATCTTGAATGATCTAAAAATTAAAAAAGAGTCCTTCAAAAAGTAGAAAGTAGGTCAAATTAAAAATATGAATATTAACAACACAAGTATGCAGGGACAAAATTAGAAGGGCCAAGGCACAAAACAAGCTCAGAGTAGCTGGAGACATAAAGGGTAACTAGAACACATTCTGTAAATATTTTAGAAGAGGGGTGGTCTCAAACTCAGTTTACCTTAGGGCCAGTGCCAGTACTCAAACCCTCCTAGTAGGCAAGCGGGCATCCCCTCTGGAAGGAAACCGTGCCTTATTAACAAACTAGGAAAATACAACCTACATGGAGCTACTGTAAGATGGATACATAACTGTTTGGATAACCATTCCCAGAGAGTAGTTATCAACCGTTCACAGTCATGCTGGAAGGGCATAATGAGTGAGGAGGTTCTGCAGGAATCAGTTCTGGTTCTGTTCAGTATCTTCATTAATGATTTGAGAGAGCTGCTAATGGGCTGTTCTGGTTTGTTTATCTAAAGGTTCCATAGTCATGGAGACTTGCAACTCCCATTGGCTCTAGGACCACTACACGAGATAGTACACCACACTTATTAGGTGTGTGGATTGCCAGTACTCTTATAAAATGTGGGGATGATACCAAGCTGGATAGGGGTTGCAAGTGTTTGGAGAACAGGATTATAATTCAGAATGATGTGGACAATCTGGAGAAATGGCCTAAGGAAAATAGGATGAAATTCAATAAGAACAATGCAAAGTACTTTACTTAGAATGGAACAATTAGTTGCACACATACAGAATGGGAAATAATAAGTAGTCCTGTGGCACCTTAGAGGCTAATCAAAATATATAGAATCATGAGCTTTCGTGGGTAAAACCCACTCGATCAGATACATTGGAATGGAAATAACAGAAACATCTATCTATCTATCTATCTATCTATCTATCTATCTATCTATCTATCTATCTATCTATCTATCTATCTATCTATCTATCTATCTATCTATCTATCTATCTATCTATCTATCTATCTATCTATCTATCTATCTATCTATCTATCTATCTATCTATCTATCTATCTATCTATCTATCTATCTATCTATCTATCTATCTATCTATCTATCTATCTATCTATCTATCTATCTATCTATCTATCTATCTATATGTTAATGGCAGAAGAAATTGGCTTTGTAATGCACCGACCAGTTAATGTCTTTATTCAAGCCCAGGGTTACAGTGTCAGATTTTTAGATGAATTCCAATTCTGCAGACTCTCTTTGTAATTGGTTAGTGAAATTCCTTTGTGGAAAAATGGCTACTTTTAAATCCATGTTTGAGTGACCATGCAGGTTAATATGTTCCTCTACAGGTTTATGTATGTTACTGTTTCTGATGTCTTATTTATGTCCATTTATCCTTTGTCGTGAGACTTTCCAGTTTGGCCAATATATTTATATAATAAATTATACATATGTGATTCTCCAGTCTCTGTTCACATAGACACCAAGACCAACCTGGAACTACTTGGAACAAGTTTAAATTGCTTGTGATTAATTTGCAATAGACTAGACATGTAGGCTGCATCTACACTGGCATAATTTTGCGCAAATACTTTTAATGGAAAAGTTTTTCCGTTAAAAGAATTTGCGCAAGAGAGCGTCTACACTGGCAGGGATGCTTTTGCGCAAAAGATGTCTTTTGTGCAAAAGCATCTGTGCCAGTGTAGATGCTCTCTTGCGCAAGAAAGCTTCGATGGCCATTTTAGCCATCTCTTGCGCAAGGAATTAACATTGCCTGTCTATACTGGCCTCTTGCGCAAGAATACTTGCACAAGAGGGCTTATCCCTGAGCGGGAGCGTCAGAGTATTTGCGCAAGAAGCACTGATTTTGTACATTACAACGTCAGTGTTCTTGCACAAATATTCACGGCCAGTGTAGACAGGTGGCAAGGTTTTGTGCAAAAGCAGGTGCTTTTGCGCAAAATCTTGCCAATGTAGACACAGCCGTACAGTCAAAAAAAAGCCCGTTAAACCTGCTTGTAACCATTGTTCTTTGAGACGTGTTGTATGTCTGTGACCCACCCACCATTCAATGACCCACTACCTTTTCCCACTTTATCAGAGTCTGTCTGGTAAGAAGTAACAGAGGAGGATCCAAGGGTTGCTCCGTTCTTTTGTAATAGTATGAGGTAGTAGAGTGCTCGCTATATCCCAACAGATACTGCTGAAGGAAAAAAATCTTTGTGTGTTGGACACATGCATACCTCTAGTGAAATGGACATATGTAACAGATGTCAAACAACAGTTATATGAAGGTTAGAAACTGTCTTCCAAGAGGTTGTTGTTGTTAACGGTGCTAAATCCTGCTGGAAAGGGATAACAAGTGGAGTTCCGCAAGGATCTGTTTTGGGACCCGTACTGTTCAATATCTTCATCAATGATGTAGATATTGGGATAGAGAGTACGTTTATTAAGTTTGCAGATGATACCAAACTGGGTTGGGTTGCAACTTCTTTGGAGGATAGGGACATAATTCAAAATGACCTTAGCAAGTTAGAGAAATGGTCAGAAGTAAACAGGATGAAGTTTAATAAAGAGAAATGCAAAGTGCTCCACTTAGGAAGGAACAATCAGTTCCATACATACAAGATGGGAAGCGACTGTCTAGGAAGGAGCATGGCGGAAAGGGATCTAGGGGTCATAGTGGACCACAAGTTGAATATGAGCCAACAGTGTGATGCTGTTGCAAAAAAAGCAAATATGATGCTAGGTTGTATCAACAGGTGTGTTGTAAGCAAAACTCGTGAAGTCATTCTGCCGCTCTACTCTGCACTAGTTAGGCCTCAGCTAGAGTACTGTGTCCAGTTCTGGGCACCACATTTCAAGAAAGATGTGGAGAAATTGGAAAGGGGACAGAGAAGAGCGACAAGAATGATTAAAGGTCTAGAGAACATGACCTATGAAGCCAGGCTTCATGAACTGGGCTTGTTTAGTTTGGAAAAAAGAAGATTAAGGGGGGACATGATAGCGGTTTTCAAATATCTAAAAGGGTGTCACAAGGAGGAAGGAGAAAATTTGTTCCTCTTGGTTTCTGAGGACAGGACAAGGAGTAATGGGCTTAAAGTGCAGCAGGGGAGGTTTAGATTGGACATTAGGAAAAAATTCCTAACTGTCAGGGTGGTCAAATATTGGAATAAATTGCCAAGGGAGGTGGTGGAATCTCCCTCTCTGGAGATATTTAAGAACAGGTTAGATAGACATCTGTCAGGGATGGTGTAGACTGAGCTTGGTCCTGCCTTGAGGGCGGGGGGCTGGACTCGATGACCTCTCGAGGTCCCTTCCAGTCCTATAATTCTATGATTCTAGGTCAGAGCTTCACTGTTATATTTCAGACAAAACATAGCACATTCTGCAGCCTAGTGTCCTCTAACACCACACTGGGTCATTGATTCATTAGTCAAAAGGAGGCATGCCATGTACAGTATTGCTAGAACCCTTTTTTGTAACAGTTGTGACATTTCCCTTAGAGGTTTCTTGTCCCAACCCTAATTCAGGAATGTGCTTAATGACATGCTTAATGTTAAAAAACTGCATAGCCACACACCGTATGTTATGACACACTAAAATATAGCCATGTCATTTAGCTGGCTAAATGGAAACTTCTGAAAATCTGGCTCTTTGTGAACAACTGTAAGAGTGATACACAAGAAGCAACTCAATGGCAAAATTATGCAGTTCTTTCTTGGCTGTGTTGCCTCGTCAGGACTAAGAAAAGCAAAATGTAATAAATAGTCATGCTAGTCACTTTGGTATGATGATATGACATGAAACATGAAAGAACACATAAGTTGAGTGAAAGAATCTTTTTCATACATTAATTTTTTCAGACCTTTTTTTAATAATTTTATGACTATATAGCTTTATTTCATCCTGATTTAAAAACTTACCTATAAAATTGTCTGATTTCCTAGCTTGTTGGTTTTGCTACGTTGCCAAGTTCATATGGAAATTGCTCATATTGAAGAAGATGAAGATAGAATAGAGGCTGCCATGGAACATTTTCAGAAGGCAATATATCTAGATAATAATGGGCAATACCAGGAACATCTTAAAATGGCTTTTCATCGTCTTCACTTATGCACTATGTTGTATAAATCACCTGAGCGCCTAGAGGATCAAGCAATTATGATGATTGAACAGGTAGTAATAAAGAACAATTTCATAGGTAGCAATATAAAGTTTGCTTATATTTCTCTATAAAGGAAATATTCTCTTATAATTATATTTTGAGAGTTGTGTATATTCAAATACTAGATTTCTAAGGTAATTAAGTTTTGGTCTTTTGAGTAATTTCTTGCAAAGTTATTTAATAAATAACTTAATGTTAATCTTTACTGACAATACTGAAAGGAGAGAGCCACAGTTCTGATGCAGGCAGAGATTACTCATGTATGTAAAGACTGAGCTTTCAGGGTTCATGGGGAAAATATACTCCTGTATCAGCACACTGATAATATTCCATTCCACGTTTATACTAAGAAGACTCATGTGAAATAGATAGGCTAGTACACTAAGGAATGCTGCATTTCAAATTCCTTTGTGTTGGCATATAGTTGTCAGCGCTAGTGAACTGTTGTATTTTAGGTATGATTTGAACCAGTATAGTGAAGTTTCAGGACTCCCAACTTTTCTTATATCATCTCAGATAATTCAGCTGTGATATGCCCCAAATAATGTAGTGTGTTACGCACCAGCAAAAACAAAAGTTTCGGGCCAAAGTAGAAAACCATTTGTGTAGTCACTGCTGTTGACTTCCTAAAATATTTCTCATTTTTATATTCAACATTTTGTTTCTCTCTAGACCTTATAAGTAGTCTGTTGTTCCTTAGTAACTAAAAAGTAAGAGAAAACGTAAAGCCTTAATAATGTGAAAATTAATTTATCCTTATAAATTGGATGATGCAAGCATTTTACACTTTTACAGTGCTTTCTGTTTATACTTCTTGGAGTTATTTACAAATGGGTCTATATCAATTTCCACAGAGACACATACAAGGGTTATACCCTACATTTTAAATGATTTTATATAAACGAATATTAAGCTTCTTCACCATTTATATCTTTGTGCTGCAAAATTGGAGGCCAGTAGCTTATAGCTGGTCTCTACACCGTTTTCAGATTTTAAAATTGTATTTCAAGTGGCAGTTATCTAAATAAACGGAAGGGCTGTAGCTTTAGAATCTAGCCCCGAGAGGGTTTGTATGGATTTTGGTGAATATTAGCATTATGTTCTGTTGTACAAACATCAGCTGACTAACCACCACTACCTCCAGTGGGACAGGTAATTTTTACCTGTTTTACAGTTAGAGAAATGAAGACACAGAGAAGTTAAGTGACCTTCCTAAAGCCGCACTGAGAATCAATGTCAAAGTTGTGGGTAGAATACAGGAGTATATTGCTTCATCCATTAGCCTGTGTTGCTTTTAATTTTACTGAGCTGCCACTGATGGTGATCTGCTTGCTCAGGTGCTGGTTGGCTGGGAGAAAACCTGCACCAGTCTTTGCAGCATCAACTGTGGAGGCATTGCTTCCTGCAACCAAAACTTGATTTGGGGTCTTCACAGAAATTCAGAGATCCTTAGTTGTCGCTGTCACTAGAAGTCAGTGCTAGGCAGCTACAGTTAGGCTACAAATGTGATCTTTAGGTTACATGAATGACAAGGTTCCAACTCTAGCAACCAGTGTATATAGGGTTACAATTTCAAGGCTAGTTTCACAAGGAAGAATCTGAAAAGCATACTTTGTAGAGACAAGATGAAAGTGGAGAGTTTACTTTTGAAGGGCCAAATCAACATGGGATAGGTACATGGGCATAGTCTTTAAAGACTACAGAGATCACCTGTGTATATAGGAACTGGTCTATTAATGTATGAGTGTGCACAGCTACTGAAGAGAAGATGAAAATAATAATTTAATGTTATTGGGGGCTGTGCCTCCTGCTCATTGTGCTCACCAACCCCACTCTCGTGGGGGGTAGGCAACTGCTGTTCTCCTGCCAGCCTCTAGGGAGGGCTGGGCTGCTGCTGCAATATCCCGGGCCCCTTTCCCCACCTCAAGCTGCACCAACCAGAGCCCTTTCTCCCTTCCCACCACCCCCCTGGCTGTGCTACCCCAGGCCCTTTCTGTCATCCCCCCAGCTCCTGGCTGTGATCCCCCCCTTCCCGGATGCGGTGGGCCCAGCTCTCTTCCCCTGGCCACTATGGAGAGGGGAGCCTCTCCAACGCCTGGCAGGCCCTGTGCTCTCCCCCTGTGCAAAGGAGAGTAGGAAGGCTGCTCCAAGGCCTCGCAGGCCCCATACTCTCCCACTGCTTCTGGGGGACAGGAAAGGTGGCCGCTCCAAGGCCTCTCAGGCCCCTCGTAACAACTGAGCACTGCAGAAAGGGAAGGAAGGAAGGGAGGGTGCAGGCAGGACACAGAGTGACATGATGATGTCACTCTGTCATCCTGCACGAAAAGTTTGAGAGAGAGAGAGAGAGAGAGAGAGAGAGAGAGAAAGAAATGTGAAGATTTCTAGCTGAAATTATACCGGTTTCCTGAATGACCATACTGTCCTAAACATCTACTTTCCCCGGCAAGCAACGACGCTGCAATTCCTGCAGACCATCAAACCCACATAATTTTCTGGCTGCATTCTCAGACACTTAAGCTAGGGGGGTAAATACACTGAAGGCCGGGATAGGGTCCAGAGTGACCTAAACAGTTTAGAGGATTGGGACAAAAGAAATCTGATGAGCTTCAACAAGGACAAGTTCAGAGTCCTGCACTTGGGACGGAAGAATCCCAAGCACTATTACAGGCTGGAGACTGACTGGCTAAGTAGCAGTTCGGCAGAAAACGACCTGGGGATTACAGTGGATGAGAAGCTGGGTATGAGTCAACAGTGTGCCCTTGTAGCCAAGAAGGCTAATGTCATGTTAGGTTGCATTAGGAAGAGCATTGCCAGCAGATCTAGAGAAGTGATTATTCCCCTTTATTTGGTCTCACCAGAGCCGCATCTGGAGTATTATGTCCAGTTCTGGGCCCCCCAGTATAGAAAGGATCTGGACTCATTGGAGAGGGCCCAGCAGAGGGCAACCAAAATGATTAGGGGCCTGGAGCACATGACCTATGAGGAGAGACTGAGGGATTTGGGTTTGTTTAGTGTGCAGAAGCGAAGAGTGAGGGGGGATTTGATAGCAGCCTTCAACTTCCTGAAGGGAGGTTCCAAAGAGGATGGAGAAAAGCTGTTCATGGTAGACACGGATGGCAGTACAAGGAGCAATGGCCTCAAGTTACAGTGGGGGAGATCTAGGTTGGGTATTAGGGAAAACTTTCACTAGGGGGGTGGTGAAGCACTGGGATGGGTTCCCTAGGGAGGTGGTGGAATCTCCATCCCTAGAGGTTTTTAAGTCTTGGCTTGACAAAGCCCTGGCTAGGTGGATTTAGTTGGGATTGGTCCTACCTTGTGCAGGGGGCTGGACGTGATGACCTCCTGAGGTCTCTTCCAGCTCTATGATTCTATGATTCTACCTGTTTCTGAATAACTAATTTGCATTTGCTCCTCATCATGCTGTGAAATGGACAACTGATATGATTGTGATTATGATATTTGTTTGATATGTTACATATTCTCAGACTGTTTTGTAATTTTCGTTAAATGAACCATTTTATTTTTGAGGTTGTATAATAGTGATAGTTCATACATTAAAAATTAATTAGTAAAATTCAGCCATGAATGTGTGCAACATTAAAATGTAGCTATCTGCATATACTTTAAGTTACCCTCAGAGTGTTCCTGTCAAGGACCAAAGTTTCAGAGTTAGTCTATCCAATAATAATATGGTGAAAGAGTACATAAGTGTTTCTGGCTATGTCTAGACTGCAGGCTTCTTTCAGAAGACACTTTTCCAGAAGAAATCTTCCGGAAAAACTTCTTTAGAAAGAGAGCATCAACACAGCAAAAGCTCATCAAAAAAGGTATCTGCTTTTTCTAAGATAGTGTCCAATCAATGTGACACTATCTCGCATTTAAGTTGTGATTACTCTGGAAAGAGTAGCTATTAAGGCACCTGAGCATTTTCCTGGAGGCCTTTTCCCCGTCCAGGAAAAGGCTTCTTCCTTGTAAAAAGAGATTTACCGCTGTCAGAACAATCCCTGCATTCTTTCGACTTTCTGTCAAAAGAACGCACTTGTAGTGTGGACGTAAGTGTAGTTTTTCCGGAAAAATGGTCGTTTTTCCGGGAAAACCTCTGCAGTATAGACATATCCTCTGAGACTGTAATGCAATTTCTGTGGTACATAAGCCCGTGACCAATGTTGTTGCTAATTTAATATGAGATCTCTAAACACCAATTTAATGAAAATACACCTATTTTTAATAGAGATGTGAATGTATCCATAACAGTTCATCCTTTTCTTTATGTAGGCTAAAAAAGGAAAGCAGAAAGACAGTGTGAGGAAAAAGCGATCTCTTTTGGTCAATGCAGGTCTTGCACTAGCTCCGGATGCATTTCAAATAGTCCTTGACAGTGAAAATGAAGCTAAAGGTATGGTATGTTTGCTGTGATTAAAATAGGCATAACATTTGTCTGTCTCTGATTTTTTTTTTTTTTTTTTTTTTTAAGCCAGCCTGAAAAATAATTTGACCACAGGGGCCAATGACAGTGTTTAGAAGACTATATCTAGGGCCTCCCAAATTCATGACCCATAGAATCATAGAACACTGGAAGGGACCTCAAGAGGTTATCGAGTCCAGTCCCCTGCCCTCATGGCAGGACCCAGTACCATCTACACCATCCCTGATATATGTCTGTCTAACCTGCTCTTAAATATCTCCAAAGATGGAGATTCCACAGTCTCCTTAGCCAATTTATTCCAGTATTTAACCACCCTGATAGTTAGAAGTTTTTCTAAGTTTTTCCTAATGTCCAACCTAAACCTCCCTTGCTGCAGTTTAAGCCCATTGCTTCTTGTCCTATCCTCAGAGGCCAAACAGTACAATTTTTCTCTCTCCTCCTTGTGACACCCTTTTAGATACCCGAAAACTGCTATCATGTCCCCTCTGTCTTCTCCTTTCCAAACTAAACAAGCCCATTTCTTTCAGTCTTCCTTCATAGGTCATGTTCTCTAGACCTGTAATCATTCTTGTTGCTCTTCTCTGGACCTTCTCCAATTTCTTCACATCCTTCTTGAAATGTGGTGCCCAGAACTGGACACAATACTCCAATTGAGGCCTACTCAGTGCAGAGTAGAGTGGAAGAATGACTTCTCGTGTCTTGCTCACATCACTCCTATAATGCATCCCAGAATCATATTTGCTTTTTTTGCAACAGCATCACAGTGTAGACTCATATTTAGCTTGTGGTCCACTATGACCCCTAGATCCCTTTCTACAGTACTCTTTCCTAGACAATTACTTCCCATTCTCTATGTGTGAAACAGATTGTTCCTTCCTAAGTGGAGTACTTTGCATTTGTCCTTATTAAACTTCATCCTATTTACCTCAGACCATTTCTCCAATTTGTCCAGATCATTTTAAATTATGACCCTATCCTCCAAAGCAGTTGCAACCCCTCCAGCTTCATATAATCTGCAAACTTAATAAGCATACTGTCTATGCCAATATCTAAATTGTTGATGAAGATATTGAATAGAACTGGTCCCAAAACAGACCTGTGCAGAACCCCACTTGTTATGCCCTTCCAGCGTGATTGCGACTGTTAATAAATACTCTCTGAGAATGGTTATGCAATCAGTTATGCACCCACCTTATAATAGTCCCATCTATGTTTTATTTGCTTAGTTTATTAATAAGAATATCATGTGAGACCGTATCAGGTGCCTTACTGAAGTCTAGGTATACCACAACCACTGTTTCTCCCTTATCCACAAGACTTGTTATCCTATCAAAGAAAGCTATCAGATTGGTTTGACATGATTTATTCTTTACAAATCCATGCTGGCTGTTACCTATCACCTTATTATCTTCCAGGTGTTTGCAGATGAATTCCTTAATTACTTGCTCCATTATCTTTCCTGGCACAGAGATTAAACTGATTGGTCTGTAGTTTCCTGGGTTGTTCTTTTATAGATGGGCACTATATTTTCCCTTTTCCAGTCTTCTGGAATCTCTTCTATTTTCCTTGATTTTTCTAAGATGATAGTTAAAGGCACAGATACCTCCTCTATCAGCTCCTTGAGTATTCTAGGATGCATTTCATCAAGCCCTGGTGACTTGCAGACATCTAACTTTCCTAAGTGATTTTTAATTTGTTCTTTTTTTAATTTTATCTTCTAAACCTACCCCCTTCCCACTAGTATTCACCATTTTGGTCAATTTCTTGGTCAGAGGATTATAAAAAATCATAAATTTTATGATTTCAGCTATTTAAATCTGAAATTTTGAGATTTTGTAGTTGTAGGGGCCTAACCCAAAAATGAGTTGTTGGGGATGGGTAGCAAGGTTATTGTATGAAAGACTATGGTACTGCTATCCTTCCTTCTGCCCTGCTGCAGGCAATGGCACTTCCTTCAGAGCTGGGTGGCTAGAGAGGGGTGGCTGCTGTCCAAATCGCTACCAGCAGTAAAGCAGAAGTAAGGATGGCATGGCCACTCTTACTTCTGCACTGCTGACTGTATAGCTGGGCCTTCATTCAGCAGCCACCCTGCTCTGAAGGCAGCAGTGCAGAAGTAAGGGAGGCATGGTTAACTATTGTGCTGCTGTGGGTAGATTGTTACCTTCAAAGGTGGGTGAGCAGCCAACAGCCACTGCTCTCCAACTGCCCGCCTCTGAAGGCAGCACAGAAGTAATGATGGAACTATCATGCCACCTCTAAAATAAACATGCAGCTCCCTTATAGGTTAGAACCCCTAATTTGAGAAGCACTGGTCTCTAGTGTTCCTGTTAAGATTTTACTCCCATGAACGGAGTGAGTTTTGTCTTGTGCATCAGTATTGAGTTCATGTGTGCTTGTTCAGATGTGTTCCACTGTGGCACCCAAGTTATTAATAAATATCTGATAAACCTCTCCCTTTTCCCTCTGCTGCCTTGTCTCCCACCCTCCCCTCATCCCATCTGTTCCCCTGGTACTTGCTGCTGCCCCCACCCCTCACCCTCCTCTGCTCCTGCTCTTCTCACTCCTCTTAGCCCTTTGGGGACCTGCCCTCCTCCCCATCCTCCTTGACCCCTGCCCCCACCCTTCTCTTCCCCCTGTGCCCACTCCTCCTCTAGCCTCACTCAGATCATCTGTAGCTACCCCTCCCCATTCCCTCTCCTAACACCTCCCTCTACTCACCTGCCCAGCCTCTCTCATCTGGTTCCCATCCCTCCCCTCCATGTGTCTACCCTTCCACAATACCCCTGGCACCTGCACCTTCCTGGTGCCTCCCCCTTCCTTCACTGTCCCTTCCCTCCTTGCCCGCTTTCTCCTTGGTGCCCACCCTCTCACCACACTCTGCCCTAGTTCTCCTCATGCCCCTCTGTGCCCTCACACATGACTTCCTCACGCCCTCTCCTCCTTTCAACCCTTCTTCTCCTGGCACCCGCTCCTCCCCTCTCCTCTTCCTCCCTCTTGCCCCCATTGTCACTCCCCTTTCCTCTTCCAGCGTCACCCCGTCCTCTCTCTTCTTCCACCTCCACTAATACCTTCCCTCCCCTCTCCACTCCTGCCCGTTTCCTCATTGTCTCCTCTTGGCCCCCTGGCATTTGTCTCTCCTCCACCCTGCCCCTGGGTGCCTGCCCCTTTCTTTTCCTGCCCTGACCCTTTCCTCTCCCCTCAGCACAAATTATTTCCTCTCCTCATCCCCTTTCCCCTTAGTTCTCCCCCTGCCTCTTCCCTAACTTTCTACCTTTGAAATGGAAAGCAGTTTGCGGGGGCTAGTGCTGGGGCCACGGTGTTAGTTTTAGTACCATGGTCTTGGCCCCAGAAGCTCCTGCAGCCATGGCCCCAACTGCTCCCAGGGTGGGACCGCATGCCGGGACTGGAGCAGAGGCCATCTGCAGTGCTATTTTTAGTACCACAAACCCGGTACCTGTGGGATCTCAGTACTAAAAATAGCACCATAGGCAGCCCTGGCTCCAGCTGGAATATAGCCGCAGCTGCATGTGCCTCGTGTGGCTGCTGCTTTACTCCAGCTAGAGCCAGGGCACACAAGGTGAGGCTGTTCCAGCTGGGGCAGCCTTACCGGAACAGCCTTACCTCACGTGCCTCATCTCCAGGCAAAGCAAAATGGTAGTCTCCTGACAGGCTACTAACTGCTTCTCCTGCCACTGCTTACCTTCTGTTCCAGCGGGGGGAATAGCTCAGTGGTTTGAGCATTGGCCTGCTAAACCCAGGGTTATGAATTCAATCCTTGCAGAGGCCATTTAGGGATTTGGGGCAAAAATTTGTCAGGGATGGTATTTGGTCCTGCTGTGAAGGCAGGGGACTGGACTTGATGACCTTTCAAGGTCTGTTTTAGGAGATAGGCAATCTCCATTAATTTATTTATTTAATTTAACATCAGTTTAAGCAGCCTTTTGAAGATTCCCCTCCTTTGCCATAGTGTAAAGATCATGTCCATGGGAGAGGGAGTCTCTGTGCTTTGGTGATTCCTTGCTGATGAAATACGTGACTGGGACAACATTGAGTCCCTCACACACAATCCTATAGTAAACTCTTTTCAGCCAAACCAGAATGTTCATCCCAGATTATTATTATATGAACAGTAGAATTAAGCTTTGATTAAGTAATGACATGGAAGAGAGCATTTACATAGTCACTAATCCTACTTCCTGTAGCACCTCAGTTTCCTTCAGATAGCTTCTTTCAGGTTATTTTAGATCATTAACTCTAGTAAGGGAAATGTAGATCCTTGATCTGTGCACTTGGCAAGTTAAAAGCTTTTCAGTTAACAGTTAATCATTTTTTTGTATAAATTAGACATCAGCTTTAATTGAAGTAAATATTATCTTTCATTGAACTGCAGCATGCATGTACTGTGAAGAGACTTAAAACATAATTCATCTTAGATTTCCAGCTAATATAAAATTTGTTTGATTTTTCAATTTTAGGTTTACTTGAGAATTTCTCTTACATTCATATGCTAGCCTTCAACTGTGGATAATCTGAATAATTAGGATCATTTTACAAAATATCAGCATAGACTGATTGACTAAAATAAACTTTTTCAAGATATTGTTTCCAAAAGTTTTACTTTCGCTCTTAAAGCTTTCAATAGAACTGAGACTAATCTCTTGATAACAAATAACTAAACTAAATATTTTTTTAAAATTAACAAATATAAATGCATCTCTAGCTCAACAATACATTGAATTTGATTCCTGTAGATGATTTTTTAGTAGTATAAATTATCCATATTTAGAATACAGAATGAAGAATATTTACATGACTGTGCTTTCATCAGCATTTTAAGAACACTTTGTTGTCTTTTTAGTGTATGTATTTACTCATCAGTAATTTTAATGGGATTTGTATCCACACATCCAGAGGACATCATGCTACTTGTGTACGGTTTACAAATTCTGCTTACATGATATTAGTATAATTATTGCCAGTTAACTTACAGTTACCGAAGTAACGAGGAAGGTATGATTCATTGGAAACATTATACTGAAAGACTATTTATAAAGACATTAAGGTTATAGCCCTTTTCGCTTTTTGTTTGATTCAACACTAATATTTAATGTGTTTGTTTTTTAAATGTCAGAAATATTTATGCTTATGCATTCATTGTTGTTACTTGGCAAGCTGCTCAAGGATCAAATTAAAGCTTATTCAGTCTGGGTTATCTCAGTGATGATAGTTCTACTAAAGTCTGTATCCTGCCTCATCAGATTTTCAGGACAGCCACATATACGAAGCATTTCTGCCTTGACATTATACTGCAGAAAAAATCTCAGTTTGATGTGTTTATATTGCTAGACTATTTTGCACCTAGGGGCTCAACTCATCCCTTCTTTGTGTCTTGTCTCTGTCACTCTCATTTCAGTTATCTGTCAGATATTTTTGTGCCTGCAAAGACTTCTATCTTTATCATGCCTACCCCACCAAAAAAACAAAACAACTTGTATTTGATGTTAACAAACTGAACTTTGAATATCTATTCAAATACTCATTGTTAGTGTTAATTTTTATAGATTATGTAAATTGTTTGTGGGCTATTATTAGAAAAAGTAAATACCTATAGGTGATGCTTAATATTAAAATTTAATGGGCATTTGACTTTTTTCAATTACTCAGTAACCATATTAAACACAATATTAATAAGGGGGAAGGAATGAAAGCCAAAATATAGAGAATGGATGTGTTCAAGTCAGTAGGCCTTGATGAAATCAGGTACTTCAGGAATTAGCTGAAGCCAATCTTTGAACAATTGGCAATGATCTTTGAGAACTACTGGAGGACAAATGACGTCCCAGAGGATTAGAGAAGGGAAGACATAGAATGTGCCTTAAAAAGGGAACAATGAGTAGTAGAGGAATTATAAACCAGGGAGCCTAACTTCAATGCCTAAAGAGATACTGGAACAAATTATTAAACAATCAGTTTGTAAGCACCCAGGGCATGTTTACACTAGGAAATTATTTCAAAATAACTTATTTCAAAATAAAAGCTCCCAAAATAACTATTTGAAATAGCATGTCCACACTACAGGAAAGCCTCAAAATTAGTTGAAAGCAGGCTTCCTTAATGGAGACGTGCTAACTTGACTTAGACCCCTAGGAAGCACTGGGGAATAATTATTCTGAATGACGTTGGGGTATTTCGAATTACCAGAAGCAGTGGAGCGTCCACACTACTGCTATGTTGAAATAATTATTTTGAAATAAGTGTTATTTCCCTGCCATACTAGCTGAGGGAAAGCAGTTGACACAGTATCTTGATTTTGGTAAGACTTTTGATACAGTCCTATATGATATGCTCATTAAAAAAACTATGTAGTCTAGATGAAATGACTAAAAGATGCGGGTACAACTTAGAGCCCCTGAGCAGCCTGTGGGACTTGGTGAGGGCTTGGCATCAGTAGCAGGAGTAAGCCCCTGCAACAGTGTGGGGAAAGGGTGGAAGCAAAGCAACACAGCTCTACCTTGCTCTGCTCCCTCAAAAAAAGCTGCCAGCGGCATCACTCAGTGGAGGGACCAACCCCTGCACTCATTGGCAAGAAGCTAGCAACACAGCCAGCAGCTGGAGGAGTGGAGCAGTCTGCAACTGCATCAATCCATTTCTCTGGTCCCCACTGCTGCTGATGAGTATGCCAAGCCCTGTTGCTGGTGCCAGAGGAAGGGGCAGCACAGGAGTGGGCAGAGGTTGGGCTGGTATAAAGTGAAGTTGTCCTGGTTCTCCACTAATATAGGGGTGTTGTGGGAAAGAATCTTGGTAGAGGAGAGTCATGTGGCTTCCTCATCAGTCTCCTCTGCAAAGAGTAGTTATCAATGGTTGATTGTCAAACTGGGCAGGCATTTCACATGGGCAGGGGTCAGTCCTTGGTCAAGTACTATTCAATATTTTCATTAATGATTTGGATGATAGAGGTGAGAATATACGTATAAAATCTGCAGATGACATAATCTAGGAAGGGTTGTAAGCACTTTGGAGGACAGAATTTTGGAATTCCAAACAATCTGGACAAAATGAAGGGTTGGTCTGAATTCAATAGTAAGAATTTCATAAAGATAAGAACAAAGTACTTCACCAAGGAAGGAAAAATCAAATCTCCAATTACAAAATTGGGAGTGACTAGCTAGGAGGTAGTCTTGCTAAAAAGGATCTGGGGATAAATAATAGCTCACAAATTGAATATGAGTCAGCAACGTGTGATGCAGTTGGGAAAAAGGCTGATTTCATGCTTGGACATATTAACAGCAGTGTTTCAGTGATGGTCTGGGTTTGCTTGGTTCTGATTCAGCTCAGGAGGCTAGGCTTCATAGCATCCCAAGCTTCCTTCCAGCCCCACATTTCAATGACTCACTTTCCCTTCATAGTTGCTTTGATAGTAGCTGCATTGGTCCTCTCTAAAACAAATGTTTTGGGGAATTGTTCTCAGCTTTAACACTAAAAAGCCTGTTCCAAAGTCAAAGTTATTGTAAAATTCTTGCTGAAAATTCATAGTTATACAGCTGGAGTACTTTACTGTAGCTATTAGTGCAGAATTGTGGCCTACATTTCGAAGAAAGGTCTTGAGAACTAAAAAAGCAAAACTTCAAATGTTTCACAAATTTAATTATGAATTTGTGTACTTTTCACTGATGCCATCTATATTACTTTATTAAATTCCAGTTAGCACACAAAATTCACACATGAAAACGTATGTCCCTACAGGAAGTCTTCAATATAGATATATTTCTCTTTTAATTAGGTTGCCCTGAATCAAACTGTTTTTGCTAATTAGAATATTTTGTTTATACTAATTTCAAACAAAATTGTTAGTACAAAATAACTTTTGTATTTTTAAAATTATTGTATGTGTATTTTAAAATGTATAAGGATCTACTTATGAATGAAGTTATTACTGTTGTGATGAAAAGCATACATTGTAAAGTTTCAAAATTTGCTTTCATTCGTTTTTCTCCATTAAGTTTCTTCAGGTAAATGTAGAAGCCAAATAAGTTATCTCTGTGCAAAAGCACAACATCATACTAAAAGTGTGGAGAAAGCTGAAGGACATTTGAAACGATTAGGACATGGAAATGACAAGGAGAGGTAATTACTGCAAAGAAGGAATAGAGGATCATTATTTTCCATTTTAAAGATGGTGTGTTGCTGTTACCAAAGAAGAAAACTTTGCTATTATGACTCTGATGTTATTTGAGGCTTAGTCCTATATGGAGTGGAGCACTCTGGTTCAGATTCAGTGTAGCTGTACTTACTTTAAACAGGGGATCAGAAGCATATACTCACAATGTGGCCATAGCCATTAAACTTTGTTATGGTTATTTATCTTATATACTGATATAATTCGCAATAACAGCTTTATCCCTTGATTCCAATATATAAGTAATCTTCAGTAACTGGCATCCTCCTCCTGCAGTTGATGCTAAATGCTGTAAGCTTTATAAGTTATCTTTATTACTGGTTGTACCTCCCTCATCTGATACCCTCAGGACCTGACCAGTCCTGAAGGAGATTTGCTGGATCCGGGGAGGTTCCTCCGAACATGGCCCCTACTGCCCTGGCTAAAGCTCCAGCCCAGACCCCCTGCTGCCTGAGTGGCCGTGGCATGCAGGGGCTCGATGGCTGCCGATGGGGCCAGACCTGTGTGGCCAGGGCCGCCTCCCCTGAGCTCTGCGGCCAGGGTCAGAGCTCCACGGCTGCCACTGCCAGCCCCTGAGCTCCGCAGCCGGGGCTGAAGTGCCACAGCTGCCACTGCCTCATGGGGCCAGAGCTCCCTCTTTCCCCCCGCTGCTTCCCAGGACAAGAGACAGAACTTCCTGCTGCATCATTTGCTCCTCCATTATCTCGCCCCCCCCCCCCCCCCGGCCACTCCTGCCCTGCTGTCCAAACTCCTTATACCTGGGCTCTGTGGTCCTGTACCTAGAGAATCCCAATTAAGGGAGGTACAACCTGTAGTAATAAAATTGACCCTAAATTTAGTAATAATGAAATAATTTTTACCTGGTTTTTAAGTCTATATTATAATGTAGGATATTATTAATTAACCTGAAATTTCAGGCTGAATCTAGCATTTAAAAAATAAATCTCTTAAAGAGTTTTCATATGTGATTATTTTTACAATAGAATAAGTCTTTGGGCAGATTTGGCAAAAGTTGCACGGAAACAAGGAGTATGGGATGTGTGCCGGGCAGCATGCAGATTCTGTCTCTTGTATGATGATACTCAGGTGAGGAAGGTACCACAATCTAAAAAATGTAAGTCAACTCATTACTTGCATTACTACTTTGCTTAATTGATGTTTTAAAAATATTTTTAAATGTCACTCTGTGTTATACACTGTCAATCAATTGCTGATATTTTACATTTGTTTTAACCCTAGAGGGATGATTTGATTATTAAACAATTTATCACTTCACATCAACAATTTAAAAATTGGAATTTCTATCAGATAATGCTTTATCTACTATTACTGTAACTCCTGGTGTTCCTGTCACTGACGCACCTTCTCTTTTTTTCAATATATTTATTCTGTGCTATGATATCAGTTTATGTACATGATCACCCCATGCATGGGGTTTCAGCAGTACTGAATCTTGGAACATTCAGCATAAAATTGCAGACCTCTGCCACTGAGACCAAAAGAATAATTCCATTAGATGATAATACCAGTAGCTTTTTATCCACTATTACTAGTAGTCTGTTTCATTGTTAGTAGATGTCTCTTTCACAAACAAAGAAGAGAAGCAGATTTTTTTTTTTTAAAATAGGTAAATGTGATGGTAAAATTCATAGATTTGTCTGGGAAGACTTACCAAGTATCTTTCAATTCTTTTCTTTTCAAATCAATGATGTCCTTTTAAAAGTGAATTTTTAATCCTGGTTATTTTTCCATTATGTGGACAATTGTGTATTTAAAAAAACAGATAGTCTATTTCTCTCAAATTTCAGATAGAACTCCAGCAATGGCAACTGTATACCTTAATTAAGTGTAGTATATACTTTAAAAGTTTTCATTTCTAACCCATTTGATTTTTAATTGAAAAGCTGTTTGAGCATGAGTAATTTTATTAGGAATGCATAATAGAGAAGCTTGGCACAAAGCAGTCCTATTTGAGGAATGTATTTTATATAGATCCATGCAGGTGTGTTAATGGCAATTTTCAGACATGTAATCTTTTAAAATTAGTTGAACAGCCATGTCCTTTTTACAAATTAATGCCATCAGTAATGTTTCTTACGTTTTTAGGATATAATAAAAGTGCAGTTTGAACATTCTGAACCAAGCACATTTTATTTGCACAGCTGTTCCTTATTCTTGTTAAATCTCCAATGTTACATTATGTTAAAATCAAGACAATTTATGTTACAGTAAGATCATTTGTTATTTCTAATAATTGAACTAAAAACAGGATCACAGGGTCTCAATGTGCACTTTCCTCCTCATGCCACATGTACATTTAGAAACCTGCTTTTATACTCCCAAACAAGGTTTATCCCGGAGCACCATTAAAATATTAGGGAAGCACTATTTCTTGTGCTACAACATGAAGTCAGGGCAATTGGAAAAGGGTCACCCTACTTCGTCCAAATTCATGTTTATCCTTTCTTTAATGTTTGTTTGTGTTTCAGGGGGATAATTATAGGTAAAAATACAAATATACAGTTAAGCTTAATAATAATAAATTAATACTTAGGCCTTGTATGGGAGTTTTCATCAGTAAATCTACAGATTCTAATTAAAGTTATAGAGGTAAATTTTAGAAAAAGGAAGTAACATAGGAATAATTGGTAAAATATTTTATACAGTTTGATCAAATAACTGTTACAGTGCCAGGTAATCTACGGAATTATGCCAGTTATTACCCATTGGCTACGTCTACACTGCAGAACTATTTCAGGATCCTGGAAATATCTCGAATTAGCTATTCCATGTCTTTGGAGAAAGCCTGTTATTGCAAAATATAATGGGCTCACTATTCCGACGTCTCTATAAACCTCGTTCCACAGGGAGTAAGGGGCATTTTGGAATAGAGCTCTATTTCGAAATTTTAAAATAAGCTATTTTGAAATTAACTTGAAATGAGCTACACAATTTACATAACTCAAATTGCATAGCTTATTTCGAGCTTTGGGTGCAGTGTAGATGCACTTGTAGAGAACTTGGTGGAATAACTTGTTTGTTACACAGTTAGCAGTGCTGTAAAAGAGTAATATTTGGTAAAATTAATCAGTTGTTAGGCAAGTAGTAGGTTATGAAGCATGTTTTCCAGGATATAAATGAAATGTATATGGTTTTATTATTCATTTAATTGTTCGTAGAATATTTAGTTAAAGCTGATTGTTGTTCAGTTGGGAGGTTTGTATATGGATTAGAATTGTTTTATACATGTACATTCAAATAATTTGTGTCTTTTACACAAACGGTATAACATAGCCTGTAAACTGGAATTTATTTTCTTGGAGTTCTGTTATTTTAATGCAGGAATGTAACATGCTGGTCTTGTGTTTCTGGTAAACAGCATCCCAAGAAATAAGTACTGAGTTAGTCTGAAATAAGAATATTTTATTGTTGAGAATAATCACCAAAGAGGATGGTCTCTTTTTATCTGGTGTGGCAAGGGCCCCTCATTCCTTGGCTGGTGTTTGGGTCGACTGCCTTCCCCTCTTTGCCAGAGTATGGGTTTATAGCTGGTTTCTAGGGTAGGGAGCCCAGCCAGTCCTTCTGAGACTCCACACCCCTGCTGTCTCTAGCTGTAATATAGTTGGTACTTCATATGTCTCTAACACTTGCGTGCTTGCTCTCTGTCTCTCTGGGTATGTCTACACTACAGCGTTATTTCTAAATATCTTATTTTGAAATAATGTGTCTACATACAAAATGCATTTCGAAATAGTGTTTTGCTATTTTGAAATAGTGCATCCATGCTAATTGGACACTGAATCGCATTTAAGGCCAGCTGAAACCAGTTCCAGCAGGGCATCAGGTCAGTAGTTGTTTTGCGTTGCTGGTGTCTGAGGCTATCTGAGGCTTGTGCTTAAAGGGGCCCCCCTGGTCAGCCGATTCTCAGGTTTTCCTGCTTGCTTGCCTACTTTGCTGAGGGACAGCAAAGCATTTTTTTTCTTTGATTACTTTGGTTGCCCTGACTCGGGACACCACAACACTTGGCACCAAAAAGACTCTGGTGCTTATTTTGAATGTCTTGCTGCAAGCCTGGCAGCAAGTGCTGGAGACTGCGTGGCAGCTTCTGCGGCAGCCCAGCCCCCAGGTCCTCTTACGGACTCCCTTGGGGGCCTTGGAGGAGCAGCGGCCGGATGCCAGTGTGCCACGCTGCATCTGGCGTCTGGACACCAGCAGTGACTGGTGGGATCACATCATCCTGGAGTGCTGGGGAGACCAACAGTGGACCCAGAACTTCAGGAGGAAGAAGGACACCTTCCTCGAGCTCTGTGAGTGGCTTGCCCCTGCTCTGCGGTGACGGGACACGCACATGAGGCCCACCATTCCCCTCCAGAAGCATGTGGCCATCACCCTCTGGAAGCTCTCCATGCTGGATAGCTACCTATCCATGGCAAACCAGTTTGGCATGGGGAGATCCACCATCGGAGCAGTGCTCATGCAGGTGTGGCAGTCTCCGGTCACTGTAGCGGGGGAGAGGAGGTGCGAGGAGTGGATGGGCTGCCCTAGGGAAAAGAGGGGTGCAAGTCCCCTCTACTGGAGGGTTTGTTCTGTCCCAGCCACACTACAGACTGCCTGCGGTGGCCAGGATTGCAGGGGGTGTTGCTTCTGGGGTAGGGGCACGGGGCAGTAGCGGGGAAGGAGCGCTCTCAGTCACCCTGGCACCCCAGTGACTCTCGGTGGTTTGTGTGTCACTCTGCAAATGGTCAAGGCCATCAATAGAGTGCTGCTCTGCAGAGTCATCCGCCCCACTGATGTGGACACGGTCATCGAGGGGTTTGGTGCTCTGGGCTTCCCCAACTGCAGGGGGGAAGGGACAGTCGACGGGATGCATATCCCCATCCGTGCCCCGGAACACCAGGCCTCCCAGAAAGGATACTTCTCGGTCATCCTGCAGGCTGTGTCTGACCACCGGGGCCAGTTCGTGGACATTAACATGGGCTGGTCGGCAAAGCACACGACGCACGGGTTTACTGCAACTCCTCCGTGTGCCAGAGGCTGCACACTGGGACCTTCTTCCCTGGCTGCCACATCAGGGACGGGGACGTGGACATGCCTGTCTTCCTGGTGGGAGATGTAACCTACCCACTACAACCCTGGCTCATGAAGCCCTACACGGGACACCTCAATCCCTCCCGGCAGGCCTTTAATGCCAGGCTCAGCAGGGCCTGCATTGTGGTGGAGGGGGCTTTAGGCTGGCTGAAGGCCCGATTTTGATGCCGCTTCACCCGACTCGACCTCTCCAAGAAGAATATTCTGCATGTGGTGGCGGCGTGCTGTGTGCTGCACAATTTGTGTGAGCAGAAGGGGGAGGCGTTCCTGCTAGGCTGGATGGCAGAGGCCAACCACTTGGCTGGCCTGTACACGCAGCCCCTCCCGCCCGCCAGCTGGAAGGCCTATTGGGGGGGCAGTCGGCACCCGGG